CCCCCCCCCAAAAAAAAAAACCAAACCCAAAAAAACAAAAACCCAAACACCAACATACACTGCATAGAAGAGAGTTCTGTCAGAAGTTGGTTATTTCTGAAGGCGCAGAATGCCACCCAGAGTCTAGATAGCAACCTTGAACAGGCCTCCGGTTTATCTGTCTAGAATAATTCATGATCAAGCAGCAGGACTGCAAAAGGAAGAGTTCCAAAATGTCCTTATCTTCACGAACTGAGGGCGATCCAATCTTTGCCCAACTTGGAGCCATATCAACATCTGTCCAAGAGCCAAGTTCCCCTCCTAACTTGAATGCAACTGAAAGTGCTCTAGGGCAGTGGTTCCCAAACCCTGGCAGATTGCATGTCACCAATTTAAAACGGTACAACCTTAAGCACCACCAGCAAATTTTTGTCATATAAAAGTAATTATAATAAATAAGTTAATGCATACCATTGACCAGTTGTCTGCGTACCACTGGAGGTACTCGTACCACGGACTGGGAACTGTTGCTCTAGGGTGAGGGAAGCAGTGTATCATCCTCTGAAGCTTACAGAAGAGTTGCTATAGAGGTCAGTGGTTAGCAAAATCTGGCCTGTGGACTGTATCTGGCCTGCCAATTAATTCAATCCAGCCTGCCAACCACTACTGAAAGCCTGAGGAGAGAGGGCTGCGCCCCACACTGCTCCGCTGTGCCACATCCAAGGCTTGGCCGTGCAGCGTGCAGACTCCTTTGCCACCCCACCCTCCCCCACATTCGTGCCCCATGCTTGGCTTCCTGTTGGTGCTGCAGTTGCCCACAGTCTTGGCACCGTGGCCACCACAGCCAGGCCTGCATGGGATGGGGCACAATGCAGCGTGCCGAGCAGCTGTGCTGCCTGCCTGCTGCAATGAGCCACTGCAACTGTGATCCTGCCAGGAGGTGAGTCCATGCTGGCTGCAAGGGGGATTGACCTGGGGCAGCTACCCTCAACTTTCCCAGTGTAGTGCAGTGACAGCAGCTCATTGTAGTAGGCAGGTGACACAGCTACTTGACACAGTGCATCATGCTCCATCTTGTGCAGACCTGGCTGCCAGCAGCCATGGTGCCAGGACTAGGCAGCACCAACAGGAAACCAGGCAACAGAGGAGAAGAAGGAGAGAGATGGTTTGAGGAGTCTGCAGGCTGCATGGCCCAGCCCCAGCTGCAGCAGAGAGGAGCAGGGTGCAGTCCTTCCTCAGGCTCTTGGCGATGGCCCAGATAGGATCGATTGGCATCTCCCCACTGCCACCACCCTCAGCCCTCAACAGCTCACTAGAATTTGTTAAGCGGCCCTCCAGCACAAATAATTGCCCATCCCTGCATATAGGTCCTAGCCTGTAGCCCTCCTTGAGAAGATGGAGTTTCTTCAAGAGCAAGATGAGGCAAGCACGCATTACAGCCTGTGCACTCTGCCTGCTAGGCCTACAGATCAAAGGGAAGGTCACCCTGGCCTATGTCTATCCCATAACTTTGGGTGATCAGGGAGTTCCACTTCTTTTCTATTTAATAGAGATTAGAGGCCAGGGAAGGAAGGAAAGGACAACTTCAGGATTTTAAAGATAAGTTTTTGTCATTATATTTTTTAAAAACCAAGCAAGAACATGAGATGAGGTTTTGAGACCCGATGGTGTCATACAGTGCCACAAATATGATAGGCACTGACAAGAACTCTCTCACAGCAAAGACTAGCATAATGGTTCTTTACCTTTTTGGACTCAAGAAACCCCTCACTGGATTCAAGGCACCCCTCTTTAACTTCTGAATTAAACAGCACTCAATTTTAAAAAACAAATTTATATATAAACAGAGCTTATCTACTTACAGAGGGGCTGGGAAGTGGGGGTCAGGGGATCATCCAAGCAAGGACAAGCCTCAGTCTGCACTTATCTGCTTATCTCCTCATACCTCAGGGGCACCCTTCAAAGGATCTGGTGGTACCCTGGGGTACACCAGTACCCTGTTTGAGAACCACTGCCTTAGCAACTCCAGTGCGACCTATATGTATTCTGAATAATCAACAAGAACAATAACTGCCCATAGAAAACAAGAAGGGGAAAATTAATCTGATTCAAACATTCACAGAGTGCCACACTAGGATAACAAAATCCCCATCTCCTACAAAAAACAGCTTACCCTTTGTACATGGAGCCGGTGGAACTGGTCTGCAATACACTGTAATTTCCGTGCAATTTGGACCTCAGCACGTACTTCTTGGTGACCTTCCTGATGTTCCTCTTGGAGGTGTGGACTCAGAGCAAAGCCAACTGGGGGAACACGTAAACGGTACCCAACGTTCCCTGAAAAACATTAGAGAGGAAAAAGCTCAATAGTGAAAATTGCCAAGGTAAAGTTTGGTTCCCTTATTGCACATTATGAAGGAAAAACATGCATGTTATCCTGAATATGCAATATAGGCTGAAGTCTAGCATCTGCAGCCTAAACAATGAATATTTATTCTAAGTAGTCAGTAAAACATCTACTTGGTTTTCCAACTAGATTTATATTAATCAAGCATAAAGTGTTGTGTTCTCTCTCATAACCAAATGGCCAGCAGGAAAAGTATCTCATGCATGGATCAGGGTTGTTTATAATTCAGTCAAGTACTGGGATTTTCTTTGCAATTACAGTATTACAATTACCCAACACTTGTGTGCCTCCACAACACAATAATCTCATTGCCTTAACCCTCACTGCAACTTCCAAGTCAGGCTTGCCATGATACCCAGCATTTAGGGCCAACCGGATACAAATGCATGGCTCCATTTCAACAAATGCTGCGTGTGAGAAGCCACAGGAAGAACGTGACTGTTAGCATGGATTCTATTTTTTACCTGAATGAAGGTCAAGAATGATGCATCTCTTATTCAGCTTTAACTGAAATTAAATCGTAGAAACGTGGTAACCTGTCAGTTACCATAGAAAAAATATTTGATCACATTTTTTCCCCTCCCCACCCAATATTTTCCCTCTACAAAGAACTCAAAAATCAGGCCTGCGACATTGAAGTCTTTGTACTTCCCCTCTCTGCACTGAGAACTCCTAGCTAGTCCCAAAGACATGGGAAGATTCACATAAGTAGCCTCTAGATTGGAGGGAATTAATACTTTGCAGTCAAAGGGAAGAAAAAGTACTTTTAAGTGAAGGAAGCACTCTACCAAACTCTACTGCCTGCAGCTTTACAACTGCACTTAAGTATTAGAAGCAACTCAACTTCAAAAGGCATAGGTGCATAAAGAATGGCAAAAGCAATGAGCAAGAGGATAGATTCTTCACTGAGCAAGCAATGATGAGAAACAAAGGAAAAAAAATCTTTTGTCAGGGAGCATAACAGCAGTAAGTAACCCTCTGCTGTCTGGTTGAGGTGGAGGAAAGGGAGAAAGTCCTAGAGGGTGACTTTCCTTGCTGCAAAGCTAGTGACTCTGGAAGTCGCTTACCATAGAAGAGTCTCTGAGGCTCTTCAGTGACTCCACAAGGCAACATTACATCCTGACTGGAAGAGGATGGGTTGAGTGTTTGAGTTGCCTTATCCTGCTGTTCAGCATGCCTGCTGCCAGGACCACAGCAGTGAGTGAGTGGGAAAAGTTGAAATCTCCCCAAAAGGCAGCTGTAGGACTGGTTCTGTGTGAAAATGCCAGTAGAGGTCATCTCACCAGGCTGACCTGCGAGTCCAAAGTCATCAGAGTGAAACACATCATCATCCAGCCCATCCAGGCTGGAATAGTCTTCTTCCAGGTAGCTGGAGGGATCCATTTTTCCTGAAATAGACAAACATTTGAGAAAAGAGCTAAGACACAGACAGATTACAGAATAGCATAAAGCCTCTCTAATTCCAGAAAGGAATACACAGTTCTCCCTGCTCTCCCAAAGTCTTACTTTTCAAGAACTGAAGACCAGTCCACATGGACTGGAAAGATGAGTAATAGAATAATAATTAAAGTCTGTGATCAAGTTCTGCAGGCCTTGAACAGAGAGCTCTGAAGTCAACATGTGTCTAAAGCTCCACCTATGGTTCAAAGTCTTAAAATTCATTGACTGGTCACAGAAATAATGTCCCCAGCCTCATTCCCTAAAATCACAGGGGGGCATAAGGCCATTGCTTTGAAAGTCATGCCAGTCCCTCACAGTGTCCCTCCTGCCTCTGCACCCACCCATTCCATTCTGGAGTTCTTATTTGCCTTCTGGTTCTGAACTTTCAGATCCACTCAATCAACATTTTCTCACTTATTTTGTGATCAAAAGAGTTGGCACCTTCATTAACTGTATTTTAACAATTGAGATACTATGGTAATCACAGGACTACAGCAGCTAGGGCTTTAAGAGAACTAAATATCCAAAGATTTGCAAAAACTTGATGAAGCTGCTTCTGCCAATGTTCTGTAAGATTCTTCCACTAATTATAACCCAAGTTTCCCTCCCAGTTACCTTATTCCCTACCCTCAGCCTAAGCAAAGAAGTGCCCAAATTTAATAATCCCACTATTGCACGCCCACTTCTCTGTCATAAAATCTATGGTTAACACTATTTCTTTAGTCCCATGTAGAATTAGAGAAGTCAAGAGACATGTTTAGTTTCAGGGTCTGAAGTGGGGGTTTTATATACACTAGTGATATTCCCAACCTAACACCAGCCAAAGAGGTTAAGTAAACATGAAATTGCCATTTCAGAGTTCATTGTGCACATGTGATAAGTAGAGGAAAGTTTGACAAAAGCCAGGAGTCCCTTACTATTACCTTGGCATCTAACCCAACTTGAAGACAGTCTCCTAAGAGATCCATCTCCAGGACTTCCACCCAGTTCCAACAAGGAAGTGTAATTCAATTCTTCTGAGCCTCTTCCTTTGCTCTGGTTTACGAAGCATTTAACAGGATGGAAGACTAGTAAAGGGAATCCCAGCCCTGAAGGAGATGTTAATAGTAATTTTATAAGACTGGATCCAGCAGGTCCCTCAAGCCCTCCCCCATATAAATATAAACCTGGTATTTAATTTAATTTAATCCAGTTAAAGAAGTTGCAGAGGTAAAGACAGCACGAAAATATGTGTTCCTCAAGAAACAAAACAACACCTAATAGTATTAGAACTGAATACATAGATCTATAGATATTCATGAAATGACTTAAAATGTGACCAACCCAAACCCAAGCTTATCAGGTAAATTAAACATTTAACAGAAGGGCCTTAACAGCAGCAGGAAATCCTGGTTCACATCCCAGTCTGTTTGGCTAAGATCTTAAAAAATCTTAGCCCAACAGATATTTCTTCTGGACTCTAAAATGAAAATGTCAAGGTTGACAAGTCCAGCCACTTACTTTGAGCACCCTGAAATAAAATCTTTTAGCCCTTTTCAAAGGAAATCTTACCAACAAACACAGACTATCATAATTTCTCAACTGGGACACGCAAACAAATCAGGGTTGTTTATAGCAATGTAAAAACATATGCATACAATTTGCCTACCGCATCTTTCATGAGAAAAAAGAAAACCTGCTGCCTAAGAAAGCTAGTGCATTGGCAGTGAAATTCTCGTATGCTACAGTTCATGCCTATTTTTGAGAACAGAGCAGGCAGGAAAAACAGAGGGAGGGTTCAGCATACACGTGCAAGCTAGCTTCCCACAACAAAGCTTGCTGGTCTAAGTTTAGGACTACCAAATTCCTTTAACTCTTCATTTCCTTCCCCTTCTGGGCTGGAAAAAGTAACATTCATGTGGAGAATTTCAATATAATAAATGTTTGGGGTTTTTTTTTAAAAGAACTTTAAATTCCTGAACAGAGTCAATAGTAGAAATCTTCCCATTATCTGGATTATTGGGTGTTATTACAACTTGTACACACAGGAATGAATGCTTGCCATGTTGCAAGGCACCATGTTACAGAAATACTTTGTGCTCTATATAGTCCAAAGCATTTATTTCAACGCACATTAGCTGCCACCATTCCAAAAGCAATTTTTTCCTTACGATCATTAATTTCTTTCAAATTACTCATTTTAAATCCCTGCCTATGGCAGGCACCTGACTTACTACTTTGTCAGTAATGTGGCAAATAAGTTTACTTATTGCTAAGGAGGCAAAAGGGCAAAACCATTTTTCCCCCACAACAATGTGCCTGAATCTAACAATAAGGAAATGATCTCATCAGTTAAAGAAGCTGCAACAGAGGTGTTTTTTTTAGCCTTAAATAAACCTTTTGGGAGGTGCACAGATACTATGGTGATGAGCGCTGTTACAAAACCCTTGATGAAGTGAGATATTCATAGGAACAAATGAGGACAACACAAATATGCTTTTATCTGGTGGAAGAAGAGCCTGATCAGACCAGATTGTTCAACCCACTGCAGCTGAACTCCAGTGAAAGGATGTAGCACAACAATAACTTTGTGGGCTGCCCCTTCAGGCAAGAGATGAACTACACAAAGTTCCCTAATAAGCGTTTTTCTCCTTTAGCCTCCAGGAGTCCAGTGACTCTGCTAGTTACGTTTGAAGGCACAGTTAAGCTGAATTTGAAGGGAGATGTCACCCCCCCTATGCCCCCACCAGTATGAGGTTAGTTAGCTCAAAGCAGAAAGATGACTATCCCAAAAGACCAAGAGAGGCCAACAAATAAAAAAAAGGAGGGGGAAAGGGGCATAATGAAACAAATTCTGAGAGGGGGAAGAGGAGCATAATGAAAAACAAGATCTGCGGACTAAATGGAGTGGGCTACTCCCTGCTGGCATGAAGAGACCTGGAGTTTCCCGTGCCAGGGCTGGGGAGACTGAAGTTTATGCCTGTCCTCGGCAGTCAGCTGCAAACTCCCCAGATGCAGGCACAGCTCCTGAGCCCTGCCAGCCCCTGCCTGACCCCCTGGCCCGTGGCACAGTTTGCTGCCACCTGCCCAGCTCAGTTTCTGCCCGGGACTGGCCCGAGGGCAGCAGAAAAATCAGCAGGCACCACAAGTGTCCTTCCTTCCCGCTCGCCCCCATCTTCTGTCCGCGACCCGCAGCCCCTCTGAGCCTGGTGCTGCAGCCCCTGCCCCGGCGGCGATGACAGGACCGGGCGGGCCGGCACTCACCTGCGGCC